AGTCTTGGGTCATTGATTCAGGTGCATCTGATCATATTTCTGGTAACAAATCTCTTTTCACTAGTATCTCATATTCTCAATCTCTTCCAACAGTCACAATGGCCAATGAGTCTTAAGCCATGACAACTGCAATAGGTCAAGCAAGTCCACTTCCTTCCTTACCTTTAGACTCAGTTCTTTATGTTCCTGGTAGTCCTTTTAATCTCATAGCCGTTAGTCGCTTAGCCAAATCACTTAAATCTGTTGTTTTATTTCTTGATGACCTTGTTTTTATACAGGAACACAGTACAGGGCAGATCATTGGTACCGGATGTGAATCAGATGGACTTTATTACCTTATCCTTGCAAAATCACATGGACTCGCATCTTATCTTCCTCCAATAACTTCTCCCGTTACTGATTCACCAGATTTATTACATAAACGGTTATGACATCCGAGTTTGTCAAAACTTCAGAAAATGATACCTGGTTTATCTCACTTGTCCACTCTAGAGTGTGAGTCGTGTCAGCTCGGTAAGCATACCCGCTCCCATTTCCCACGGCGTCTTGATAATCGAGTAGAGTCACCTTTTACTTTAGTCCATTCAGATGTTTGGGGTCCTAGTCGGGTTAGTTCTATCTTAGGATTCCGCTACTTTGTCAGTTTTATTGATGATTATTCCAGGTGCACTTGGATATTTTTGATGAAAAATCGATCTGAATTGTTTTCTATTTTCCAGACCTTCCACGCTGAAATTCAAAATCAATTTGGGGTTTCTATCCGCACATTTCGTAGTGATAATACCCTAGAGTATTTGTCTTCCCAGGCAAAGGCTTATTGTTTGAGGATCGAGGCCATGAGCAGATCGTTGGATACTCAAATGCTGATTGGGCAGGATCACCTTCTAATAGACGTTCTACGTCTGGATATTGTGTCTTAGTAGGAGGAAATTTGGTGTCTTGGAAGAGCAAGAAACAAAATGTGGTTGCTCGGTCTAGTGCAGAAGCAGAATATCGAGCAATGGCTATGACCACATGTGAGCTAATTTGGATCAAACATTTGCTCAATGAGTTGAAATTTGGTGAGATTAGTCAGATGAGACTTGTGTGTGATAATCAAGCTGCTCTTCATATTGCGTCAAATCGAGTGTTCCATGAGAGAACTAAACACATCAAGATTGACTGTCACTTTGTTAGAGAAAAGATACTCTCGGGAGATATTGCTACAAAATTTGTGAAGTCGAATGATCAACTTGCTGATATTTTCACCAAGTCCCTCACTGGACCTCGTATTGGTTATATATGTAACAAGCTCGGTACATATGATTTATATGCACTGGCTTGAGGGGGAGTGTTAGTTTGATAGTTAAATAGTACTCCCTCTGTTCCAGTTTATGTGAACCTATTTCTTTTTTGGTCCGTTCAAAAAGAATGACCCCTTTCTAAATTTGGTAACAATTTAGTTTAAACTTACAATTCTACCCTTAATGAGAAGCTTTTATAACCATGTAAATACTCTGGGCCCTTTTTTTGACTTGTTTAGGACCACAAATTCCAAAAGTCTTCATTTTTTCTTAAACTCCATGCCCAGTCAAACATGTTCACATAAATTGAAACGGAGGGAGTAGTAAATAACCCTAATCCCTTATGTATTAGGAGTAGGACATGTATCATATATATAGGGCTCATTGTATCATTGTTAACAATTAATCAAGAATATTTTCTCGTGTGAGAACTTTCTCACAGTAATCATGAACATTTCATAAGTTGACCTAACAATAATCTTTTTTTTTAATTATGATGGTGTCTAAGCCAGCTTAAGCGCACCTGAACTATTCCATCGGATACCTGCTACCTCCACCAACACAGGTTTTAGTAACTCTGCCATCAAGGCTTAGGCTTGACTTAACAGTGATTTACTGAAATGAAGTTCCGACATGGAGTCCATCTACTACATCATTAATTATATGTTTTTCAGTCTTACCTATTCATGTCAAGGGAGCTTTTATAGTTATCAGACTTTGGTCCACATTTCAATTTTCAGGCATTTTATTATGGTCCAAGTATGCCTTTTCGTAGGAAGAACAATAAATTCTGCATGTGCTCATACACAGACTAAGTATCAAGTCAGACAAAGCGTCTAATCTACTTGATCACTGAACTATGCAAGTCACTTTTCGTGTCCCCAGGTCTCGCTCTATATATGGTTGTAAAGCGTTGATTGGACCATGCTGTACTATCTTACTTATCATAGTGAACATAAAAATCTCAAAGGCAGCACACCACCATCATAAATGAACAATACAAAGTTACAAACTTGGATCAAAGTAAAAAGAGCATCTTAACATGACGTACCTGTAGGCAGTTACCCAATGAACGCAATATATATGCACATAATTTTGTCTCAGGCTCCTGCAGGAGATAGCAATCAGAAGTCACTTTCTTATTATTTAGATAAATGGAGCTCAAACCTTTTCCCCATAGACAAAAGAAAAACATAATAGTGATGTGTTGAAGGCAACCGAATATAAAGCGTCTCCCAGAGCCAATATTATATTGCCAGACAACTGCTTGAAGTATGACTCTCCACCTTGAGCAGCCCCATTCTCTACCGCCAGTGTAGCTGAACGCAACAGGACGTATAATCCTTAACCACAAATAAAAACATCTCATACGAAATAATATTGGAGAAGGTAAAGGAAAATAAAGCATACCACATTGAAATCATGAGTTTCTTTATCCTTTTTTACCACGAGCAGCATTATTCCTGATGTTATTGTGCATATAGAATTTCAGAAGGGGAGCAAAAATTGAAGCAGCCTGTTTCATGATATAACCGATAAATATCACCCGTTAATTTTGAGTACACTTAACATTACATGGAAAAAAGTAAATGGCAAGTGATATTCATGCTAACCTGGGGTATCCATGGGTAGAAGTCTTCTTTCATGCTCAGAGCATACAAAGCAAGGTTACTACAGGCCACAAATTTCGCATATAGGAGGTCACTTCCTTTGATGCATATTAATTCATCCCAAAGCTTGACTTTCTGTGTACTACAAAATGGTGAAACTTAAGCGATAACCACCTCTCCATAGCAGTCTTAGTATTGATCAGTAAAGCAAAAGAAATACTCCTAACAAGAAATCATACATATTCAGGAGAAAATATGTTTAACAGGTGAGAAAGGCAGCAACTATAGGTGCTCCTAAAGATGTGGCCGGTGACTACACATATGGATACGAGTTTGACAACAGGATGTGGAAAATTAATTGAACCATGTCCGGTATGGTAAAAACTTACCTGCACTCGATGTTTACACCGAACCATATGATTACTATGCTTAAGTGATTCAATGAGGTGAGATTATATATTACCTAGCCATGATTAAGTGAGAAGTGTTTGTGCTAACACATGGCATACCTTCTGGCGGATATCAAAGCAATATAGGTCGATCATTTTCTTGCCAAAGTTAGAGAACATGTTATGCCACTTTGAGCTATAAATTTAAACGCAGATACGAGGTATTAGATGGAGACTTACAAGTTAATGATTTTCGGGAATTTTTGCGAGTAAACGTTGGAGATAAAAAGGAGGAGGAAAGGAAGGTATTTGGATAAATTGAGAGAAAACTGATTAGCTGGAAGAATCAACAAAACAGGCTCAAGATTAATCTGATAAAGAAAAGAATACCATCGTAAGTGGATCCTAGGGTCAGGAGCTAGCATCATACGACCACTATGAATGGAATGCTTTTACAAATTATATGTTTCTTCTTTTTGTGTTTCTATTACTTGATTGTGTACAATTAGGGAATGGAAAGATATGAGAATGGAATGTACTTTCAGCTGGACTTGAGAAAATGTGTTCAGACTAGTAGGCGTGTGCTATAACGCAAGCATTTTCTAGGAAAATGTGTTTCATGAGAAGTTACCACAAAAATGTTCCCCAAGTCTAATAAGAAAAGCTTACCTGCTATATGGTCCATTAGTGAATACGGTCTTATCGGGCTCAAGTTGAGCACATTCAACCAAAAATGGCATGACCGTACTCATGTAAGGAAGAAAATCCTTCCCCACGCACTGGCAAATTCTGGACCATGCCTGCGATGAAATCAAGAAAATATGAGAGGCCAATCTAAAAAGAAGTTCTAAGCCTGTAAAATCAAAGGATTAACACATACCTGTAGAATGTAAACAATAGTATCAAGCTCTTTCACCCGTGATTCTTGTAATGACTTGAGCACTTCCATAGCCTATAGTGTCACCAAAAAAAATATAAAAAGAAAATGTTGGCGTTGAGATATGAATAAAGGGATAAGATCACACCGGCATACCACAAAGAGATGAAACAAAGTGCTGGAAGAGATGTAGAATGTAGGATCAAAAAGGAACTTGTAGGAGAAAGTATATCAAGTCATTAGACATTGCTCCCAAGTCCAAACTGTTGAAGAAAATGGTAATTCAAATTGGTGCAATCAATGCTATGGTTTGTCTCAAGAAAGCCATCTGACAAAGCATAGCAAACGCAAATGCAAACAGGAACGAAGACATTCCATCAATGGTTATACATGAAATGTGTCTTCTTACATAAACTTTGTCACTTAATCATCATTAATTAAAAAGTATTTACACCGCAAATTATCACTTAACAATGGTAAATTCACAGTATATAGATACGTTTTCACATGGCACACTAATGTATGTGTTCCGCATCACACACATATGAAAAGAAATATTGGGCATATTTGGGAGAAGACCTGATGCAAGTCATCTCTGAATTTCTCTTTGCCAACAGCAATCCCAACAAAGCTTATGCATTCCATGGCTTTGCTTCGAATAATGTGATTAGACTTATCATTTGCATTTACCAGCAGAGCTTTCAAATGCGGCGTTACAAAATCATAGTACTTTTGGAAGTGCTCCTGTTGAAGTATGATATATTAACCATCATTATTCACAACATAAGTAGAAGTAGAATTGAGTCAAAAAATAAATGCAAGTAGGTACTACTTTAGAAAAATCAGCTATATAACCCAATGCATCTAATGCTGCTTCCTGAACCATTTGATTGTCAGTCTGCATTTCAAACAACAGCAATCACTAGGAAAATACAGCATGAATCTCTTAGACTTGTTAGCAGTAATCAAACTTTATAACATGGCGGCCTCTACTTTCGCGTACCTGCAGAAGTACAAGCAGTTTGTTGAGTATCCCATCTAAGTAGGGTACCAAAGTTTCAGGCTTTTTAGATATACAGAATTTCATGACAGCTACTGATGCATGTGCCTATGAAAATTCCAAAAAGAGTAAAAGGAGTCACTTAGTTGTTATCATGAATTGAATGAAGCAGTAATAACACATTTATACCAAATCTTTATGCAATAAATTCGTCAAACTCTATTAAGGGCCACTTCAGATACTTCGCCTGACATATCTCTCTGTAGTAACTACTTCTTCTGTAGTCTTGTACATTAGCGGTCATTTTAGGCAAGAGCTTTATGTAGTCATAAGCTTAAATATGAAGCCAGTGCGCTATTAAGGCTCCAGAAGGAAGATTCACAAACATACTTAATTTGCCTTGTATTGCAAAATAGCAAACGTGGATGTTGAGGGCCAATTGGTAACAGATGTTAATGATAGTCAAGAGACTTCTCAAAAGATTACATCCAGACCAAAAGGACTCAAGCAGAATGCAATAGAACGACGAGTCTGGTATAGAATTGTATGCACCAACAATGTAGGTTATTTTGGTCCTGTTCTAAGCCCTGATTCTTATCAACAAACATACTAGAATATGTAAAATTAATTAATTATTCTCTCTACTTACAATAACAACAAACTTTTAAGGATTAAACAGATTAAGACTATACAAAGTTATAAATCATCAACTTTATGGAATATGTAAATCCATGGTAAAGGCGCGCAACAAGATAGATACTTTTGCTGGATGTTTCCTGTATCAATAATAATCAATTCTTTCATAGCTCAACTGTAATTTGGGAAGTCTGCAACAGCCATATATTAAAGATTTTTACCACCATAGGCCAGACCTGAACTCGAGGATTTTGAAAATCATCCATAGCTGAAGCTAATGCAGGCAATACATGATTATGATATTTTTCTTGCAAATCTGGAAAGAATTCAATTGACCACCAGGCAATTGATCTAATAGCAGCCCATCTGACTCGAGGATGAGGATCTTGGAAAGGTTGCAGAACCATATTCACTAGTTGCTCCAAGTAGTTGATCATCACCTATAAACATAGAAACCGTAGATTCTCTGTTTGACAACATAATCATGATAAATACACTAATGAGACATCAGCCTTGTACCTTTGAGCTTCCTTCAACAATATAAAAAAGTGCAATGAGAGCTGCGTGGCGTTTCTCCCACTCAGGAGCAACCAAGTAAGCACTCAGCTGCTCTATGGCAACAGGAGCAATAGTTTTGTCACCTAATGCTTTAGACAACTGTTCCAAACCACTGCAACCAAAATAGTATCCTTTCGTTACCCCTGCATTCTCATTGTTGGTCTCCGCAGTATGCCAATGAGGTTCATCCTTAATATCCAGTAACAAATTAAATAGAATTTCAAGGAAAGTGTTAGTAAACCATGGCAATTTTTGTAGCATGCCAAGGGCCTTCTCCTTCCCTTCGAGCAATTTTAACACAAAGCTAACTGCCATGTGCCTTGTCGGTTCTTTCAAACTCTTAGCCTCTGCTATCTCAAACATAGTATTCACCACATCTGCTAATTGTGTCCTTAAGAACCTAGGCTCATTCTTCGCCAATTTAGTAAAAAATGACAGCACGTCCTGGGCTAAAACATTTTCACTGTTGCTCATTGCATCAGTCAGCATCCTTAGCGTAGCTGGCAATAGATTCTGAAACCGCTGCCTTTCATTTAAACTCGGTAGGCACCGAATGAATCTGAACGCTGTGGTCAGGACTGCATTTCAGAAGGGTCTTTTCAGAAGGGTCTTTTGGAGGTCTTTTCAGAATGGTTTAGGCATACAAGTGAATCTCAGCATTGCATTTCATCCGCAGACTGACGGACAGGCTGAACGTACCATTCATACACCGGAAGATATGCTACAAGCATGTGTTCTAGATTTTAAGGGGAATTGGAATGACCATCTTCCACTCATAGAATTCGCCTATAATAATAGCTACCATTCCAGTATTAAAATGGCCCCATATGAGGCATTATACGGGAGGAGATGTAGATCACCAGTTGGATGGTTCGAAGTCGGTGAAGCAGAATTATATGGGCCAGATTTGATTCACCAAGCTATTGAGAAGGTGAAAGTGATACATGAGCGATTGAGGACGACACAAAGCAGGAAAAAATCTTATTCCGACGTCCGACGTCGTGATCTGGAGTTTGAGGTTGGTGATTGGGTTTTCCTGAGGATCTCACCAATGAAGGGTGTTATGCGTTTTGGGAAGAAAGGTAAGCCGAGTCCAAGGTATATCAGGCCGTATAAAATTCTTCGACGAATTGGACAGGTTGCTTATGAGTTAGAATTACCATCCGAATTGGAATTTGTCCACACGGTATTCTATGTATCTATGTTGAGGAAATTTATTGGAGACCCTTCTCGAGTTGTCCCTATCAAAGATGTACAAGTTACGGAGGACCTATCATATGAAGAAGTGCTAGTGGCTATATTAGATCGACAAGTCCGCAAGCTGAGAACAAAAGATGTAGCTTCTGTCAAAGTATTGTGGAGGAAAAAGAATATGGAAGAAATGACATGGGAAGCAGAAGAGGAGATGAAGTCTAAATACCCTTACTTATTCCAGAATGAAGATAACAAGGATGCTGGTGGAACACAGGATACATTGGAAGGTAAAACGGCTCTATGAGGTAAGCAATAACTTGAGAATACTCTTCCTTAATACAAAATGGTGATATGCAGATAATGTAAATATCCATAATGCTTTGTGTAGCCTTGTGAGGCCATATGTTGGGCTTAACTGCTTGCAAGTTTTTCTAGTGACCATTTTATAGGAGAAAAGTGATCGGAAATTTTCGTTGGAATCCACGATGATTTGGACTCCCCATAAACCCTTACATTCGAGGACAAATGTTCCTGGGGGGGAGGGTCTTAAAACCCATATTCACATATGTTAGCTCATGCCATAAGGTATTCGACGTAAATCCATGAAGAGATTATCTTTAAGATGATAAGAAGTTAATCCTATTGGTCTTAAATGATACAAAGGTGTATAAGGGCAGTTAACAAGTATTAGAAGTTAAACGAATCAAGGATGTTGTCAGCCGTATTTTCGGGTAAACCTAGAGGTGCTTAATACTCTCAAGAGGTAATGTTTTAAGGTATTTGAATCATATAATATCCGTATTATTAGTCTTGAAGTCAAACGAGTTATTAGACAAAAGTCGACAAAAGTTGTCGCAACTTAGGTTTATAATTTTACTTAAATATTAGGTCAAATGTTACTAAGCTTTTATCCCAATTTACTTAGACGTATGGGGTGATCTACCCACCAAATTGAAGATCTATGAGTTTAATTTCTAACACATTAAACCGTTCATCGATACGATCTCATAATAGAGATATATTCGCGTTTTGGCGAGACTGCACCAAACACCTTTCTATGGGGCCCACTTAAGCAGTTTAAGACATTTGGATATCCATATGATGCCTCCAACCCATTTTAAATCAATTTTTTTACTATATTTAGACCTTATAACCCTAAAAATACCATCTCAAGGTTCTCTCAAGATTCAAGACCCAAACAAAGGGCAAACAACACAAATCAAGTGTCGGGAATCCCGTGGCGCTAGTAAGTTTCTTGTTCTTCTTGTTGTTGCTCATTTTTGTGTTGTTCCAGCTCGTGTGAGAGGTTGTTTTAAGGAGTTTATGTTCTGTAAATATTACCTCAAGTTCTTAATATCAACCCTATGTGATTTCAAGCCTTCTAAAGTGATTCTAGTGCCGAAAAACACTAATTGATTGCTAGTTTCGCTTCCTTGTTGTTATGGCAGCATTGGAAGGATATTTCATGGACAATTAAGGTCAAATTGGAGTTGTTCTTTCTATCTAAAGGTAAGGAACCTCTTACTCTACATGTATTTAAGATTATCCAAGTTGTGGCTAAGTCATTGAAGCTAGAACTTGTGAAATATATATCGAAAGGCTTGATAGTAATGTTATCGGTTGGTGGACTATTTTGGGAGGTTCAATATGATTAACATTGATGTTGTTTAGGCTGTTTGGTGATTGTTTTCACTTGTGGGAAGTCATATAAATAAGGGAGGTGCTGTCCATTTCATCGTAAAATAGGTTGTGGTCGGTACATAATAGTTACGACGCTTAAATGTTAACGATATTGTCATTTCTCCTATTGTAGACTAAGGAGTCGTGAAATTTGCATAGCTTGAGGTTCGGCAGTATACATAAGGTATGTGAGCCTATCCCTTTCCTTCTTTTGCACGACTCCGATTGTACATAATGTAATGAACGAGCTTCCAAAGATATTCTACTCTTAGAAGCTAGCAGTACTTACATTATTTCCCCTCTTATGGAACGATTGATGTTAATGTTGCTTCTCTTATTCTTATGTTATCAATGTTGTTGGTACTTCCTGATTCTTATAAGATTCATAGTGAAGAGTTAGTCCTAATAACGTGTACAGAGGATACCGACCTTACGTCACTCCGAAAGGTTTAGAACGTGATTCTATGAGTCGAGCATGCATTGTATATATGTATCTATTTTACTCTACCGAGTCACGCTATAGTTGGCCGGGTACAGCACCTATTGTGCAACCACTGATCAGTTGGGTTTTATCGAGCTCGACATGGCTGGGTACGATTCTACCGAGCCTTATGATGGTTGAGTACGTTTTTACCGAGCCTATTACGGTCGGGTATGATATGATGATGATGATGCCCATAGAGGGGTATATTTTACAAGTTTATGTATATATACATATGTATCATGCATTTCATGTCAGTAGCCCTCAGAGGTACTTAGATGTTACAAGTTCTATATTCTCTATCCCTGCTTATATTACTGTTCGTACTTATGGTTCCATGCCTTACATACTTAGTACTTTATTCGTAATGATGTCCTTTTATTTATGGACGCTACATGTCGTGCTGTAGGTCCTGATAGACAGGCAGGTGCAACTCCCCCACCACAGTAGGCTGTCCAGTTCAGCGGTGATTGGCGAGATCCCTTCTTCGGACTTGTCGTAGTCTTGGTATGCATTTTTGTTATAGACATTATGGGTATGTCGGGGCCATGTTCCAGCAATGTTGCAGCACTTATGTTCCTTTAGAGGCTCATAGACAGGTGTCGACTCATGTATAGTTTGGTATGCCTTGTCGGCCAGTTTTCGTTGTATAGTCTTTCATGGTAGCGTGGTAGCTCGTACCTTATATATAGTTTCTTGTTTGTATGGTCATCCCATGTTATGTATGTTCATGCCATCATCTTTTATTGTTGGTTGTCCATGATCCATGTCTACCATTTATATTGATCTCGTCGGCCCCAAAAGATAATAAAGAAGGTTAGATAAAAGGTATGTTAGTGCTCGGAAAGTATGGCCGGGTGCTAGTCATGGCCCTCCAGTTTGGGTCGTGACAACAAAGACTTTAGTATCCCTCACTAACTTGTAACACACCTATTACAAGCCACTTTATAATACCTCTATTATAAAGACTTCCAACTCAACTAACTCTAGCTAAGACACAAACACAATGGTTTATGATTTACAAAGGTTTCCTACACCATGCTTCTAACTAAGATAAGTAGGAATTACAAGTGAAGAACAAAATAACAAAGACTCAACAAACCTAAGGACTTAAAATATCTTCAATCTTTAGATCTGGTCCTTGAGGTTGCAGTAACTTTGTTCTTGAGAGATGTGGTGGCTAGCACTTGAGAGAATATTTTCTTTTGATTTGCAAGTGTTAAGAAGATGAAATCCCTTGCCTCATGTTAATAATATGTGTGTGTGATATCATCAAGGGTGATGTGATAAAGTGCCTTTTAGTTTGGCCTTAGCAAGCTACAGTTGGTGCTACTGCACTGCTGCCAGACCATACAATGCAACAACTTTTACAGCTGTAGAGTTGACTGTACAACGACCAGGGAGTTGAACCAGACATCTGACTAGTTACTCTGAATGCAAGGGAACTAATTGTATCAGATTCCTTATCTTGTTCTATCATGAAGCTTGTCAAATCATCAAAACAAAAGACGCATAACTTATTAATTTCCCCCTTTTTGGTAATGACAAACTTAGAATTGATATTCCCCTTGAGAACCAGATCTCCACATTGTCCCCCCTATGAATCAGCCATATTCCCCATGAGAACCAGACCAAAGGAACTGATCACAGATGGTTCTTCAAGATTGTTTCGCAAATCATCAAAGCACAAAATAACATAACTTATCAATTTCACCATTTTTGATAATAACAAACCCAAAATTAATGTTCTCCTTGAGAACCATATTCCTCACATGTTTCCCTGCGGATCAGACCTATAATCAACATGTTATCAACAACGTTCCCCATGTGAAGCAGTGCTATCTTTCATGCACAACACAACATATCAATTCAATTATGTTCCTCCCCTGGTTGACACTTATGTAACTTCCCCCATTTGGCATAATTGAAAAGAATAGCATAAGAAGCAAAAAAGAAGTTCAGCAGCATTAACTCATGCCACTTGGGCAACACAACATAAATAATAACAAGAACAACAAGTGAATGTCATTGCACAAAAATAGAGTGATTTCCCATAGTAAAGTAATTATAACAAAAGCATAGTAGTTTTAACAATATAGAATATGACAATTTAAACAACTAAGTACCAATGTCATCAAATATAGGGATCAAAAGAAGATAGGAATTTGAGGGAATTTGGAAGGAGTGAAAGATATGGATCACTAGGCAGGAAGAAAAGTAAGGGGCTAAGGCCTTGATGAGCTTGTACATTCGTTCATTCACTCTCCTTTGATCAATGATCATCTGCTCTTTCAGTTCCTCCACCTGTTTCCTCAATATTTTATTCTTACCCTTCAACTTAGCATTCTATTCTGCCAAGGGTCCACGGGGACCTGGTTCTCTACCTATCTGAGCAGGCTGAACCATTAATCAGATCACCAAGAATCTTGCCAAGCTTCTCCTCATCAAGAACAAGCTCAATCCCATACATACATAGCATCAGAGTATCACATACAACATAGAAGTATTTTTTACTTCTTATTCATAAACCTTGGGACTTGGAGGAACAAAGAGGTGATTCTATTTTTGGAACTCAATAGAAGTTCCTCCATTTTTCAGTAATATCAGAGTCAACACTCTTCCTAACAACACTTTTTGAGACTTCAGAGTCTTCTACCTCTCCAAACCCGATAACTCAACATTTTGCTTCTGAAGGAACCATATTCCTCACTCACACTACCCTTTCTTTCCCTGAGCGACCTTGCTCCCTCTTATTTTTCTCAATCTGTTCACCCTTATCATCTGCTGGATTTTTCTTATCCAACTTTCTTTTCTTCATTTTTTTGAATTCCTTCTCACAAGTGAAGATTTTTCCACTTCATACTCTCTTCCACAATCACCACATCAGCAGGTCATACCACTTCATCATCAATCAACCTACTTTTCATCAATCATTTTTACTGAATTGGAGGCTCATTTAAGCATATAACCCAAGAGAGGAAGATCATCATCAGAATTAACATCCTAAGAAGGATTTGAAGGACCAGGTCTGTCATTCAGTTCCCCCTTTTCCAGCACATTCACTGATTCCTCCATCCTTCAAGGCTTTTACAAACCCAGCAACAATTTCAGCGTCACTCTCTAGAATATTAGATCTACCCCGTTCTTTTTCAGTTAAAGTCCCATCAAAATCTACCAAAGACTTCCTAGGTTTCGATTCAGATGGAGTTAGGATTTTGGAAGGTGATAGAGTTGGGTTCACTTCTGGCATATTTAGAGAGAAAGTTTTTTTTAGATAAGATTTGGGTGTGAGAGAAGGAAATGGTTTTTCGGGGCAACAAGTCAGTTGAGAAAAGGTTTAACATTTTGACTTCAAAAATTTAGAGAGATATGGGAATAAATTAATGACATTACACTTCAGTAGCTTAAAAACGAAGAGACTTCTAACCTGAGTCACAAGAACTAGGTTCCTTAATGATTTTTGAAAATTTGAGCAAAAACTCTTAGAAGGGCAGTGTTACTCTTACTTGTTTTGTCCTGAAACTGCCATGTATGTAAACCAGTAACAATATAGATTTTGAATTAGATGTCGCCGAAAAATACTTTTTTAGCATTGTACCTTTCCTTCTTAACATAACCAATCATCGAGGGGCCAGGTCCTTAGTTAAGCTTGATCAACCCCAACTCCAGATGATTTCTTTCAAAGTGTTCACATCTCAGCACCTTGGTGAAAATGTCTTCTATCTGGTCCTATGTCTTCCAGAACTTCATACAAATCAGAACCTTTTCAACATTATCCCTCAAAAAGTGATGTTACACATAAATGTGCTTTGTCCTCTTGTGTTGTACCGGGTTCAAGCTGTAAATACACCGAAGTCTTCAAGATATTGCTTGATTTGTAGTAGTTGAGCACAACAAGAAGAAGCAACCATATATTCAGCTTCAACAGTAGAAAGAGCCACACTGTTTGTTTCTTTGTACCCAATGAGATCAAGCATGACCCCAGAAAATGTGCCATTCCAGATGTGCTCTTTCTATCCACCAGATATTCAACAGAATCAGCATATCTAACTAAGTCAAAAGTATCTCCTGAAAAATAGACGAGGACCAGGTCTTGCGTTCCTTTAGGATACCTCAAAATTACCTTGGCAACCTTCAAGTGAGAGTCTTTTGGGCCAGGTACCAATCATTATTCTGTTTGAAGGACTAGGGACCAGGTGCCACACTTGGTTCCTCTCAACTGATGGAGTTCTTCTTGCATAGCAGCTATCCAGTTAGTATTTTTCAATGCTTCTTTTTATGTTCTTAGGCTCGATTTGAGACAAGAACGCTAAGAGGGAAAAAATGTTCCTTGCCTTAGAACTAGGTTGAATACTAGAGTCTAAGGGTGTGATTACATTTTGAAGGGATATGAACTCTTTTACTTCTAGTTGGATACTTGAGCTTTAGAATTTGAAGGACTAGGTTCCTCCATATATGAATCATCATTGACATCTACAGAATAATGGCTTCCATTCTTTTGTTCTGCATTAGGAGTACCTAATGCAGCATCAACAACCCTATGTTCAGCTTCAGTCGAGGTGATAGAGGGATCAGGTTCCTCTGTGCCTTTTGGAGATTCTACTGCATCTCCTTAGATGCTTTACTTGACTTGACTCATCAAATCAGTCTTTCCATTTGCAATATCTATAGCTTTATCAGGAGCATTTGTAAATTCTCCATCTTCATCTTCTTTGTTATGTGACCATTTGCCACCATTGTTAAGAACAAAACATTTTGTATCCAAAGGCTCTCGGGTAAGTCAGCGTTGGTTTTCTCCCATTGAGCAGTTCATAGAGAGACTTCTTAAGAGGGGACCTGATCATACATTTGTTAATCAAGTAGCAAGCAGTGTTGAATGCTTCGCCCATGAACTAGACCCTCCATAACTGACTTTTTCAGCAAATAAAAATTCTCATGCCCCAGTCATTTGTGCCATAACTCTACATCATCATCAATGATATTTAAGCATGTTAAATCACTACCATTTAGTGAATCAAGGTCTGTAACATAGATATTCTTGAATCTCTTGGCTATCAATACCATTTCACCAGTTTTAAGATTGGTGAAAGTGCAAGATTTGGATAAGAACTTTACTTCATTTTTCCTTATCACAGATTTGAGACACACTCAACAAGCTATATTTCAAGCCATTCACATAGTACACATTTTTAATTGCATGGGAGAGTGTTTTGTCAATTTTGCCAACTCCAAGAATATAGCCTTCTTGTCATTTCCAAAGGACACACTCCCCTTGGAAGGCCTAGAGTGAGAGGAAATCATTCATTCTTCTAATTTTATGCTTAGAGCAGCCACTATCCATGCACCATTTTTTTACTTCTACTACTCACTTCAGCCTGCACGCTAAATCAATGATTAGACTTAGGAACCCAAGCCAACTTGGGTCCCTTATAATGATTGAACATGCGGATCAAACTTCTTTTTGCTCATGCATGCAACACATATATTCTTTTCAGGGAACCATGTTCCTCATCAGTAGGCCGCTTTTCAACAAAAACTTTGTTTTTTTGCAAAGACTAAATTTTAATTTTACAAGAGTCCTTGTAATGATCCGTTTGACCATAGTGAGTACACAACCAATTATCAACCATAGTTACATACTTGCTATGGGGATTATAGGAGGTTTTAACCTTTTGGAACCTGATTCCTTGCTTGTTTCCACCATTACTCTTGTACATAGACGTTATTACATCAGAGGATCAAGTATATTTAAGTGACTTATCAAGATCATTTTTAACCCTCTTCAAATCCTCCTAAAGTTGTCTATTCTTTTCAATCTCGGCAATAAGACTTGTTTTAACTTTCTTAAGCTCACTCTTAAGCTCAAGTTAAGACTTACTAGCCACTTTTTTACCCTTAGTGTTGTCCATCCAATATTTTGTTTGTTTTTTCAACAAGTTATTTTCTCTAGTTACTTCTTCTAATTGTTCCTTCAAGTTTACAATAGAAATTACCATGTCATCCCTTTGTTGTTCTATGTCACCAATTTCTTATATTAAAACATTTTTCTCATTAATGAGGCTATGATAGGCATCAATCAACACATTTGCTAAGGACATCAATTTTTTCTTAGAGTAAGTTTTTAAATTTCTTTGAACATTAAGAAAACTTACCTCATCTTCCTCCTTGTCATCATCAGATTTAGCCATGAGTGCAAAGATTGACTCATATTTTGAAGATTCATTATCAGCAACCATCATAGATGCATCTCCTTGGTCATCCTCACCTTCAGATTTGCAGGAGGAATCTCCCCAGTCAGCCAAAGTTTGCTTCACCATGTTGTCAGCAACATCTTTTCTTTTAAATTTCCTGACAAGGACCTGGTTCCTCTTAGTTGCCTTAGCAATGTTGGTTTTGTAATGATCCTGCTTATGAAGAGGGCGATCTTTAATGAAGTGTCCAGGTTTTTCACACTTCTAAAAGCAATCATTTCCTTTGAAATTCCTACTGGAACTTCCTTTCTTTGGGATCCCACCATTTTTACAAACCATCTTTTGAAATCTTCGAGTGAGATACGTCATTTTAGATTCATCACTACTTGAATCAGTGTGGGCAGCTTTGAGAACCAGGTTCCTCTCCTCATTGGGCTCTCTTCTTTCAAGATCCTTATTTCTTTTCATATCATATGCTTTGAGATTTCCAATAAGCTCGTCAATAGTTAGCTTCTGCAGGTCTTTGACTTAGTATCTTCCAGACTAACTTGTTGGTTGGAATGGTTTCACCAAGAGAATAAAGCTCATTGATTATGGAGGTGAAACGGGTATGCATCTCTTGAATGGACTCATGCTCTTCCATTTTAGAGAGTTCATACTCAGTTTTAAGCATATCTATTTTGGACTGCTTTACCCGAATAGTTCCTTCATGAGCCATTTGAAGAGCTTCCCAAATTTCGTTGGCAGATTCATAGGCCGAGATACGATTATACTTGTCTGGTCTAATACCACACACAAGAATCTTCTTTACCTTGAAGTTCTTCTTAATAGCTTTTCAGTCAGCACCATTGTATTCTTTTATTATTTTTTGAACAATCCTTGTTCCCTCTCCAATAGCCCTCATAGGGACAAAGGGACCATAACAAATCATATCCCAAAGCTCGGAGTCCTCAGCCATTATGAAGTGATGCATTCTTGTTTTCCACCAACCATAGTATTGGCCGTTGAATCTTGGTGGTCTGTATGTTGATTGTCCTTCCTCGAAGTTTAGTGGAGCAGCCATGAAGATCTTTTCTAGGTGTTAACCTTTTAGAAAGAACATGCTCTGATACCAATTGATCGAATTTAAGGGTCCACCAAACTATATAGAGAACCAAGTTCTCTATCAGTTCCCATAGTAAGCAACAAACTATAGAACCAAATAGTAGAGGGAACCAGGTTTTCTATCTGTTCCCATAGTAAATCGGTAGTAAATAAAGAACACACAATATTTAGGTGGAAAACTTCTTGCTTAAGGGATTAAAAACCACAACCTACCCTAGTAGGATTTTAACTCCACTAACCGAGCAAACTTCAGGTTACAACCTATGCAACCTAGGAATTAACCTCTTAATCCCTCACTAACTTGTAATACTCTATTACAAGCCACTTTGTAATAACTCTATTACAAAGACTTTCATATCCCTCACTAACTTGTAATACTCTATTACAAGCCACTTTGTAATAACTCTATTACAAAGACTTTCATATCCCTCACTAACTTGTAATACTCTATTACAAGCCACTTTGTAATAACTCTATTACAAAGACTTTCATATCCCTCACTAACTTGAAACATACATATTAC